TCTCTAGGAGGGTCAAAATGGCCCACTGAAACCGTCTCTATTACACCGAGTTCCCAAAGACTTGGCCGAATCTTCACAACTTTTCCTATCAGATATGCTTGGTCTGTGGAGCATCTTGAAAGAATACAGAAGCCAAAGGTTATTTTCAATCTGTGCAAAGTGATAACATCTTCTCATATTAAAGCGGCCAGCTTCCCAGATAGAAAATTTTGTAAGTAAAAGGTATAAGATAAAGAAAAACAAGATAAATTGACCAAGTGTGCTTTAAAATGTCCCATAAATTTAAAAGCCCTTCTTCCCTCAGCTGATCATGGGAAGAGGGAAGACAGCTGTGTTCACAGGGACCTCATGTTTAATGTACGGTAGTACAGTGAAGTCTCAAATGGGACCCTGGGTGCTAGCATCAGCCATCAATTGGAAACTTGTTAAAAATGCAAATTCCCAGGCCTCTGCTGAGAGGATGAAAAAGGGGTACGCAGTACTCCTTCCAAATGATTCTCATGCCTGCTAGTTTTGAGAAGCGGATGGAAGTCTAGCCTTTGAGGTCAGAGTGACTAGGTTCACATACTAGGATCTGCCCCTGCTAAATGCTGTGACTTTGACCAAGTTAGTTAACTTTGTGTATGCTTTCATTTCCTCAACTATAAAATGAAGACGACTGCTCCTAACTCATTATGATAATACATGTAAAAGTTTGGCAAAATGCTTGACACATACTAAGCACTCATTAAATGTGTCATTTTCTCAACTAGGAAGATGATCAAAGACTTGCTTTTATTCCACTTTACTCATCTACTTATTCGATGAGCATATATTGAGCATTGACCACATGACAGACTGGGGCACTCAATTACACAGGATTCGTGGCTGCATCAGAATGACCCAGGGGGTTCTGAAGAAACCCCACTGCCTGAGCCCCACAGTATAGCAAATCAAAGAATCTCAAAGAATCTCAAGAATCTCAAGGATATGTTATAAAAGCTACTCAGGATATTTTAACAGGAAAAGCAAACCTGCAAGCAAAAATTACAGCCCAAAGTCAAAGGAGCGGGGGCTAGTTTTATACACATGATCTCAAAAAGCTTTTAGGGGGTTTGTTTGCCCAGCAAACTTTCATTGGCCTCATATACTCCTCTCCTGCTTTACTGGTCTCCTTAAGAAGCACAAATCATGCTTCCCTGACTCTTCAGTGCTGGCTACCATGCTGGACCATGAGTTTGACGATGCAACGAGAAGTGAGCTCTATTATCGGGCCCTCCCAACACCTGGAGCCTGAACACCAACTTTGAGGGCGGAGTAGTCCAGCATAGCCGTCACCTCCATAACCAACTCTCGTAAAAGCACATTTCCCTAAATCTATTACCCAGGCCTGAAGGCTAGACATAATGGTTTCACACGCCAGTCTCCAAGAAGAGGAGCGAGGGGCAAAGCTTTTATAGTAATTAAAAGAGACACTCAGGCCCACTTCATGCCATTCATTAATCTCCATTCTCCTGTGATAAATACAGAATGACAGACCAGGACCAGGCTAAGGAGCTCAAGGGAGGACCCTTGAAGACTCCTGGAGCAGCCCTCAAAACCTCTGCAGCAGGGCCCCGGGCTCAGAGAAAGGTAGGAGGAGGAGCTCAGCACCTTGTCCCCTTATGTCACCAGGGAGCTCTGAAGAATGCCCACTGGATATGCGACCCCACTCTGCTTTGCCTCATAGCAATTTAAAGAACAGATAAAAAGGAAACAGCATGTATTGTAATGAGGAAATCAGAGAAAAATAATAAAAGCCATGATGATTTGTGGAGGGTTTTCTAGTGCCAGGCACTGTGCTAGTGTCTTCTCATGTAGTATTTTATGTCATTGTGGCAACCAGCTTCCTAAGACCCCTGCCTCCTAGTATTCACACCCTGGTGCAGTCCCCCTCATTCACTGAATCAGTTAGTACATGTGACCAATATAAATTCCAGAAGTAACTGTCTGCGACCTCTGAGATCAGATCACTCAAGGCACCATCACTTCCAACACAACCTCTTGAATCACTTGCTCTCGGGGAGCCATGGCGACGTCAAGTGGACACTCAAGCAGCTCTTTGGTGACGGCCACGTGGAGACCAGGCCACCTTGGAAGTGACCCCCTGCTCCAATCAAGCTTCAAAGCTTCCAGCTGAAGCCCCAAACATCAGAGAACACAGAAGCCATCACCCGGGGCCCTGTCTGAACGGCTGGCCCACAGAGCCCGTGCGATAACTGTCCTGAAATCTAAGTTCTGTGATTTGTTATGCAGCAATAGCGAACTCACGCCTAAGCGCTCAATACTCTCATAGTTGACAAGGGTTGAAGTGACTCAGTCATGGGCACAGTCAGTGAAGCGATGGGGACTGGACTCCAGGCATACAGATTTGAAGTTCTGGTTCCTTTTCCATCAGACTGCTGACAGATAAACATGAGGTGTGTAACCTACTTCCCAGCCTTTTATTAACCCCTAGAATGCTGGGGAGCGCAAGCGCACTCCTCCTGTCTTTCGCCAAAAGTGCCGGGAGCACTATCGCGCTCCTCCTGCCGTGTCTATTAGATGCTAGTAGTTCACTCTTTATGTGGGGGAAAAAATGTAAAAACCTTAACTCAAAATGCCTTGGCAATTTTAGCATAGTTCCTAGGATATTGGTTGGCACTCAAAGGGTTAAGGGAAAAGTAACCATGTAATAGAAGCCTCCTAAACAGTTTGCCTGTCCCCAGTTGCTCTGTTCACTCTCCATGGCAGACACCATCCTGCTGGTATTTCAGCCATTTCTCTATGGGTAGAAGCTCCTGGAAGGTTGGAGTCCTGTCTTCCTTACGACAGCCTTGTACACAGTAGAAGGGTGTGGCTAGGATGTCACGTTAGTCCTGTGGACTCCCACCAACCTGCCTGCTTTGGCAGCTCTGCTCTACCATTTCCAGGCCAGGTGATCTTAAGCAAATTACCTAAATGCTGTGAGCCCCCGGTTCCCCACTCTTATAACAGGGCCAGTATGAACACACATTTCTGCTTGCTTGCACTGCATTAAAAAAAAGACTCTCATAAGGTATTTAGCACATTGACGGGCTCACAGTAAGTGCTCAATGAATGTTACCTATTTGAATTATTTTTCAAATGTGTTGAAAAATGTCCAACATTTTAAATGCCCAACAAAAGCTCTTCCCTGAACCTATCCTCCTATTGAAAGAGAATTTCTACAGATACAGCAGTGGTTCCCGGGTGGGAAGCGATTTCGCTCTGCAGGCACTGACACCTCTGGAGACGCCCTGGCCATGGATCCTACGAGAGCCCAGCCTGCCCGGCCTCCGGAAAGCTGCCCTCACTCCCCCATCCAGGGACGTGTGCAGACAGCAATTTGGCTCTTCCTTCCAGGAGGAAAAGAAAGGCAAGTAGGGTGTCCCTCCCCCTGGCCCAATAAACAGGGGAGGAGAGGGATTGTGCTTCCTCCTATCTCTTAATCCCATTACATTCTTATCATTTTGTCAGTGCAGACTAAGCTCCTTAGCTCCTGCCAATACTCACTGTAAGGCCTTCCCCTGTGGTTCATTCTTCCTTAGTCTTGGAGCTAATAGGCTGTCAAGTGTCTCACTGTCCCCTCTGGTGATTTCTACTTAAATGCTGTTCAGAGTCCCACCTCCCTTTGAACTTAGCTTCATGGTTCCTATTCTTTTTTCTCTCTTTACATATAAAAAAGTTTTCTGTGTAAAATTCTGTTTAGAGTCTAAAATATGCCCACAACCTTTTACTTCTGGGCAAGACTAAAGAAAGGGAAATACCAACCACATTCACCCATACCCAAATAAACACAAATTCCTAACACTGCAAGGTGCTGGGTTTAGTGTTTTTTTTTTGGGGGGGGGCGGGGGTAGGGGAGGTAGAGGGTGTATAAGTGACTTCTCCACTGTAACAGAGGAGATTTTTAGAAAGTATTAATAACTAGGAAACCAAGGCCCACATGAAGGATGCCACTAAGCAGGAACAGAGGGCCCAGGAGAGCAGAGGAAGAAAAAAAAAATGACACATGAGGACTCAGGAGAGTTAAGAGCAGTCAGCCTGTGGTGGGGGCGCTGAAGGATGGGAGAATCCTGACCTGAGTGAGGTGAGGAAGGACAGGAAGAGCACTCCAGGTGGAAGGGATGAAAGGCAAGGAGGCAGGAAAGCAGGAGGCAGTTTGCAAAGTGCTACAGATTTATGGAGAAACAGGGACAGAGATTACAAAAAATAAAGTTGATTAGGGGAACATACACTACCCCAAATTAGCAATAACGATCTTTAAAGGGAAGGAAATTTAAAGGTCTTTTGCAGATTACACAGCAATTTGGTGACATGGATTTCATAATTAAGAATAAGTAACATTCTAATCAATTTCTCAGGGATCCTGAGCTTAATCTCTTAGAGAAGAATATTTTCAAAGGAGGCAATGTCAAGTGAATGGGTAGATCACTCTCCTCAATATGTTAAGTTTCCCTCACTCACAGAACTAGCTATAAGTCAACTACTTTTCAACTAGTTTTTTTCCTGGTCTAGTTTTAAAAACTATTACCTATAATGAGAAGGCACATATTAAACAACTTAAGTCAGGAATCTGCTATTTATCAGCAATCATTTCAATGATTTCCAAGTATCCTCTAAGGAGACTGGTTTAAATGTGGAATCAATGCATATCCGAAGTAAACACGATATTGATAGGTCTTAAGGATGTCTGCACCTTAGTATATTTTTCTATTCTCTAGCCCAATCTTGGAAAGCTAGCAGAGTAAGCTCTCAAACAGAAATTCTGTGAATCAGAACTCACTTCCCTTTCTTCTTACAAACAAAAGGCCAAGCTCAAAAAGACCCAGAAACCATCACAGGCCATCAACCAATCTCAAATGGTGACTTCTTGAAACAGGAAAAAGCCCCTGCACAGTGTTTCTCTGTCCTCCCAGTCCCCGTGGAGGCTCCCTGCACAACGAAACTGGAGGACACAGGCGCAGGCCAGGCGAGCTTACCATATACCACATGCTCGGCCACTTGGGATCATTGAAGTAAGTAGACTGGGCATGACTGAAGTCATAATCCCTCTTGGTCCGTTTTTTCACCACTTGCTGTTGGATCCACTCCACCTGCCAAGAAGAAGAACATCTGGTGAGTGGCCGGTTCCATCGGGTTAGCACAACATAAATGAAGGTCGGAAGCATGTACCCTCTTGAGTCAATTCTGTTTAAGTTATAGGCTTCATTCTGGCAACTAAGATCTCTGAGTTCAGGGACTCAGAGATGCTCTAAGCATCTAGTTCTACTTTATTATATGCAGGTTAGGCTTTTTTTTTTTTTGCCTTTTGTGATAGATCATTCATATCTCTCAATAATATGCTAACCTTTTCGTCTTTTCAGAAAGCAGCTCCATTCACAATTTATTGCGAATTGATAGTGTCAGTTTTTTCATCCTTACCTTATCTAAAGGTCAGCAATTTTTTTCTATAAAGGTCCAGATAATAAATATTTTAGGCTTTGCAGGTCATATGATCTCTATTGCAACTATTCATTCTAATATTGTAGCGCCATAAGCAATATATGAATGTTTGGGATTGACTGTGTTCTCAATAAACTTTATATACTAACACAGGTGGCAGGCTGGATAAGGCCCACAGGCCACAGTTTCTGATTCCTCCCTTATGCTATCATCAAATTGTTTAAATGTTCTGGAATTAGCCATCAAATGTAAAACTCATCCTGGGATCAAATACTCTAGGACAGTGATGGCAAACCTTTTGAGCTCGGCGTGTCAGCATTTTGAAAAACCCTAACTTAACTCTGGTGCCGTGTCACATATAGAAATTTTTTTATATTTGCAACCATAGTAAAAAAAAAAGACTTATATTTTTGATATTTATTTTATATATTTAAATGCCATTTAACAAAGAAAAATTAACCAAAAGAATGAGTTCGCGTGTCACCTCTGACACACGTGTCATAGGTTCACCATCACTGCTCTAGGACCACAAATTTTCAAAAAATGTCTTTCTACAACGTAGTGTGATGGAAAAGCACTATTTTGGAGAATCGGAAAACTAAAGCCCTAGACCTGTCTCTGGCAAAACACTGGAGAAGTCACTCAATTTTCGGAGCCATAGGCTCCTTTCCGGCTCTGAAATTCAATTCAAACCCACCAGATTTCAGAAAGTCTTAATATGTAGCTGCAACCTTTGCTTAAACAAAGCACTTGGAACTTTGAGTTTAATACAGGATTATAATCTAAATAGTAGAGGTATGAAGAAAGGTATTTTTTAAAATAGGTAATCATTATATCAACATAAAAATAAGCATGTTCCATTTTGAATGGAGCACCCCAAATGCAGTATCAGCCCTGGTGGCATTCTACCGTTTGTTCCTAAATTTTCTTTTGATTTCTTCTGGCCATAGCTAATTTATCACAATACTCTAAAATATTCTGTTCCACCATTTATTCCTACTCTTCACAAAGAAATTACAAATTGGGGGCCGGGGGGGGGGGGGGGGGTGGTGCTGGTTTGCCCTGAAGGGTGTCCTGGATCCCTGCTGTGATTCCATACCCACCCAATCAGTAATGATTTCAAAACCTCTCTTGCCTACTTGATTAAAGTTTATTGAAGGAGAAGGGATACTAAAATACTGACAGTAAACTCAACATGCGTAGCTGTAAATAACATAGCAAAGGCCAAAAGCCAAACTAATAAATTTCTAGGATTTTCATATTGGGAAATATATTCAACAGGAATATTGGTATGCAAGATGAATTTAAATAGTGAATTCCTAACATCACTAATAAAGTGAACAGAATCACATGGCCTCCTAAATAAATATCCAATCTCTTTATGATTAGGATCACAGCTAAACATCACATATTTGCCTATTCTGATGGGTAATTTAAGCAAAATTAGTTCAGGGAAAAAGTGAATAAGTAAAAACTAATATCTGAAAAATAAAAGTTTTTCTGATCATGTTTTAATTAATCTAGGCCAAGTGACTCTCTAGCACCTAATCATTCTATACCCCTTTCCCCCACATACACAGGCACATATGCACACTGGATAAGAGGTATTACATGTTATTTCTTCAAACTGTTGGGCAATAGCTGTCAGTGAAGCTAATAGGCATCTTGTTTCTTTAATTGAAGATACTGCTTTTTAGAAATTACATCAAAACTAATGTGGTATTAAAATGTGTAAATTTATTTTCAATGAGGAGAATAATTTTTAAGTGACTGTGTTTCTAAAAACATAGGAAACAAATCAATTTCCTTCTCAATCAAAGTGGAAAAGCAAGCATGGGCATGTATATACTTTTCTATTTCCAGGAAACATTTTAATCTCTTGATTTCAATCTTTCTCTGGTATGAGTTTCATTCACTCATGTATTCATTCAAAAAGAAAAAAAAAAAGCATTAAGTGCCAATTCCATACCAGACACTGTGCTGGGAATACGAAGATGCGTAAGAATAGTCTTTGCCTTTGAAGGACTTAACATTTTACCAAGGACTATTTAGCAAGTACTCCACCACTCCCCACTTCACAACAAGGAAATTATCACCATGATTGACATCTGGGGCAGGCCTCATTACTGTATGAATTAGAGCATTTATGACAATGTTGAGCAAATTACATTTGCAATCCTTAGGTTACTGTCTGTAAGTCTTATCCCAACAAGAATGAAGCATTTCATATTTGCACACTTGGTAAAAGAAGGCTGCAGATCTGTGCAGACAGAACTCTTTTGAAACTAATCTATATTGGCAGTGGCCTTTTCTAACAGAACCTCCATAAATTCCGAACTGCCAACATATGTGCATTCATAAACCAGAAAGGCTCACATCTCCCCCAGTGTGAACTCAATAAAGAGATGACTAGAGATAAGGACAAGTCAATACTGAGGTGGGGGTGGCTAATTGTTTCCACAGTGAAGCTTCTACAGTACACTTCACCCTATACCACCCCCACCCCACCCCGCCACCTCCACACAGACAAATGGGATAAGTATGTGAGAAAACCAAGAGAAAGTCATTTTCCTAGATGAACTATACGTACTAAAATAGAACAAAATATCTTACCAAATAGCATCCCTTCTGTAATTTTAACAAACAAAAATGCTTATTTACAGGGCTTGGTGGCTAGAAGGTGGTATAGTGACTTGGCATCTAGATTTGACTCTGTCTGATCACAGGGCTGCAATGCTCAAGAAAAGTACAGTGGGGATTATTTTAGAATCAGATACCATGTATTTTGCCTTGGTGCTTTATGAGTATGCAGATATAGCCCTACAATTTTTGGAAAGCGGGAACAGCACCTCTTGGATCGGAATATTTCTATGTCTGGAAAGACCATATTTATATTTCTAAACTAGTATCCATATGTCCGTCCTTGAGCCCTTTCAGAAAAAGCTCAGGAGTAATGCATTGTACAGATTTCATTGCTTTCCAAGAAGCCCAATGCAAAGAAAAGACACTTAGAAATTCATTTTCATAAAACTATGGTCAGCCCAGGAGAATAAAAAAACGGTGTGCTTTCCCTCACTGGTTTAACGTCTACGAGTGCTATTTTCTATATAGCATAAAAACCACAGGAGCTTGAAATCTTCAGTCTATCCTCTGTTAATTTCAGCAGACGTGCAGTACATGGTTTTAAGGACATTCCCTCCCTCTACCCACAGAGCTCTCCCTCCTCCCTACACAGTCCAAGTGAACATCGGGCATTCTCCTCTTCAGAATCTTTGCTAAAGATGTTCCCTTTCATCAGATTTCACTTGTCAAGAAAAACACATTTGCTGATAATTATGAGATCTACCCCCACAATCTCAGCTGAACTCGTAATTCATTATTTTGAGATTTGCCAGCTTTCTGATGCTATATACCTGGGGAAGGCAACTTGTCAGCAATAGGGAAAATGCAATCATGTGAATATACATGATATCTTTCTCATGATAGCGTATGAAAGGTAAAGACTGCATGGTATCATATGGGGAAACTTAAAAAAAGTCAAACTCATGGAAATAGAGAATGGAAAAGTGGTAGCCAGGGGCTGGGGGGGGGGGGGGGG